TTTTTCTGTACCACAAAGATGATTACAATAATATTTAAATGTATTATTTTAAATAAATGTATATATAACCATCCAAAATCTAATTTAGTGAGTAGGTTCAAAAGTGAACTGGGTTTAAATTTCATCCCTTTAGATTGAACGAAACGATTTTTTGCTCAATGCATATAGGTTTGGAACGTTATAAAATAACTTTTGCATACGCTGTCATCATTGAAAATTGAAAATTAAATATTTGTTTTTAGGATTAAATTAATGTAAGATAAAAAATAGTACTGGCGTGGTTCGTTATTTTGCACATTTTTACTATCCAATTTTCATTTTGCTTATGATATAATATTATTATATTTCGTTGCAACGATTTGTACACGGGTCACCTTAAAAATCGTTAGTGCCGTGGCCTCCTTACGCAATTAATAATTTCGGCTGTGTATTAATTATGTATTATACATGTGCGGTGTTCGCGACGTAGGTACCCTAAATAATGCACTGCACGCAGATAAGCGCAATTAAATTTTAATTTAAACTCGGCGACGTAGTTTGGCGCTCAAAAAGAAAAACCGAAATTGAACGTCACGCGTTGTCAACCGTCGTCGGATTTCTAGAAATGCAGTGCTGCACCCGACAAATGAAATAAAAATAATTAAATTAAACACGAGGGTATGCCTATTTAATATCAGATGACATTTCCGCACTACGCGATCTCTTATAACGCGAATACCTTTTTTGATTTTGTTCCATTTACGAAACGTCGTTATTCTTATCAGCTACCCTAGATTATACTCGGAGAGGGTAGCTTACTGAACACTGAATAGGGGATGGGAACATGCAAGGTGTGTTTTCCGAGAGGCATAAACACGCACAGATTAGCCAGCGGGTAAGTTGTCGGTGGTTTATGATATTTTTTTTTACACACACACAATTTATTGTAATACTTACGGTCTGCGTAGCATTGGTCAACCTCTCATTGTCTTTCCACCACGTCACATTKGCCGGCGGCTTGGAACCCACTGCTTGACACTGAACCTCGTACGTTCGGCCGCAACTAAGCGGCTGTCTGCTGCTGAGCACTTGCACGTTCAACGGTTTGACTGTGGAGCAAGTTAAACGAATAGGTTATTACAAGAAAACATTGTCACGGTAAGACATATTATTTATTAAAATATTATGTAATAATATACACTATTTGCACACTGATAGGAAATTTCAAAAAAACTACATTTTTCCAAAGTTTTCAAATTAATTTTATTATTATAACGGGTCAATACTGTTTTATATTGAAATTATTACATTTTGCAAATTTATGAAAGTTATCTTATACATTTCTTAAAAATGTGTCAGTAATATTTGACTTCGTTATATTATAATGTATACTGAGATATTATTTTTAAAATACCACTATGTGGACCACCGATCGGCGTTTGTGTATACCTATTACAACGTAATATAATGATGTCTTACAATGAATAAAAACATTATCATCAGTGTTTTTGTGGAAAATATTTTTCAGTTTGAAGTACATWTCAATAAACAATATGGCATGGCATGTTTAAAATAATGAGGGTAAAGTGATGAAGACAATATAAATAGCGTGGATATAATATGTTTGTTGTCCATCTGTGGACTGGTGTGTAGTGATCCGAAAGCGGAAAGATTAATTTTGACCTAACCCTTATACCGATTAGCAATCTAGTCAAATAGTCAATAATCCATAACTTACTGGAGAGGTTGTATTTAAATATCATCAATATATTTATATACATACTTAGTACTTACATATAAAATTATAAAGTATATATAAACTAACTTAAATATAAAGTTTTATATTAATWAAAAAAAAAAWATATATATATTATTATAAAATTATTTAATTTTTAATTTTAATCATTTTCATTTTCATTTTAAAAATCAACCATTTAAAAATAATAATATCTAAGAAATTGAGTGAGCTATCAAATACTTTTACTAGTTTAAATATAATAACTACGAATTTCGACTTATTTTCTATAATGTCGTGCCTTTTCTTCTCCCCTTAGATCTATATTTACCATGCACTTTGCAAAACATTTACAATGAGTTTGTCCGTTCTTATTTTTCACTTTGATTTTTCAGGAC